TTCCCGCACGCCGAGGGGCTGCCCTCTCCCGGTTAAGTACCCGGGCAAGTCGGTGCCTCCCGGCCGGTAGCTGTCACGGCTCTCCTAGTGGAGCCTTGCCCTCAGCATCCTTTGCTGGCAGGCGCTGTTCTTGCCGCATCCTTCCCTACGGGGGACCGCCGCGTCCTGCGTGGATGGCTCTACCTCCGCAGTCCCTTCTCCCCTTTCGGCAGGTAGTGGGTTCTGGGGACGCCGATGCTGGAGACCCCGGAGACTCCTGCCCTGGGGAGGGCTCGGGTGCTGGCACCCCCTCTTCCCTTTTAGTGGTGCTTCTGCCTCGGTGGTCCCGGGAAGGTCGTTTCTCCCTCCGCGGAGCCCACCCACTCCCGCAGCACCAGGAACCGACCCGGGGCTCTGCACAGCTGAGGAGACCGTATGGGTCCCCCGATCCCTCTCTTGGAGACCTCGCTGCCCGCACCTCCAGCCCAGGGCACCAGGGCACCCCTCTGCATCTCTTCGCGATATTTAAGAGTAGAAGAAGCCGACGACTTGGTTATTATTTAGCTCGACAGTATACCGTCCCCGTGGCTTTTAGTACACGTGGAAGAAAATAACCTGCTAATCCTTGGTGTGGGCTATTCCTTTTTGTCTTCTCTCACCTCTCCGTGCAAACGGATTTTATGTGATACCGGCGGCCCTCTCCTGCTTGACGCTAAAATTCCCCCCCTGCGCTAGCACCTGCTCATCGGTGCGATTTCGACGAGGTTTTGGTTTAGAGTTGGGAAGAAAACAACAAAAAAAGCTAAATAAGGCTGAGCCCCGGGAAAGCCCCTCACCCTCCTCGGCCCGGCCAGTGGCTAGAAATGTTTTCCGGCACCGCTGTCCCCATTTTACCGCTAACCCGCCGGAGTTTGGGGCTAGCAAAGCTGGAAACGGCTACTTATTCTATTTGCATGCCACAGTGCTCTGCCAAGGCGCTGGGAAAAGGGGACAGTCCCTTGAGGGTCCTGCTTAGAATTTGGGGGCATTCCCAGCCCATCACTAGATGGAAGAAAACTTGCCCGAGAAAGCATGGATGGCTCCGCAATGCCAATCTAGATTTACATCTGGATTTATACCTCAATTAACAATTCGGGCTGCCTTTAAGGGCAAACTCCTTCTCTGAGGGGTGGCCGGGAGCATCACTCTGCCCCTACTCAGCCCCACTGTTTCTCTCGGTACCCAGGTCCTCACCAGTCAAAAAGCATCCCTCCCGGGAAAATGTTCTAGCTATCCGTCCCTGAGCAGGGATATAAATACCCGGAGATATTTTGAAGATCTCTGTGGGAAGCGATTGTGTCTAAGTGGTAGAGCTCGGGGCTTATTATCGCTGGAACCGATTTGTATCACAGGGACCGGGTCCTGCCAGAAAATTCCTAAAAAATCCTGCACTGAAGAAGGCTGTAAATTCCTGTGCTGCAATATTTCATCGAAGGACGTAACGGAAAATGGGGGGGGGACGGAGACAAAGTGGGGGGAAAGGCTGAACTTCTGCCCGAGGCACGGCTGCTGACAGACAGCCCGCACCTCCCCGCAGCCTCCCCAGGCGCTTCGGCAGCTTATCTTCGCTCCCGCTTTAGGCTTCTTCCCCAAAACCTCCGCCAGGTCCAGCGCAGTCCCGGGAAAGAGCCTGTGTGCCACCGGGCACATGCGTGGGGCAAGGCGTTGCCGTGTGGTAGAACCCCAAAAAAATGGTAGAGGGGGCGGGCGTGTGTGCCCTCTAACTACCACCTCTCCCTCGGTCCGTTCACATCTCCTCTCTCCGGCCTTGAGCCCCTCACTTGAACGCACCCCCTCTCTCTCGATTTAGAGATCGATTTGCCGCGGATTTGGGCCAGAGGCCACGGGGATGGCCGCGACTGAAGGAAAAAAAATCCCCAAAAACAACAAAGAAGAAAAAAACCCAAACAACGAAACGCAAAATCCAGTCAAGGGAAAAGAGACCGTGCTGGGGAAGAAGGGGAGGGGGGCTCCTGCGGGTGGTATAAATGCAAAGCAGGGACAGTGGAGAGGGGGACATGAGGCGGTCACTCCCCTCGTCCTGTGTGGTCCGGGCTCGCAGGAATACTCCGGCCCCTCTCGGAACAGCACTCAGCCCGCCTATAACAATACCACCTATATACGTTTCCATACTCGGGTTACACTCAGTCTACTTTGCAAAGTTGACTTTACTTAAGCAATTAGGTAGTAAAAGTACCTTCGGCACAGGAAAAGGAAGAAAGCTAGGATTTTTCTATTTTTACACAAAACACTGCCGAGTTTCGGGGAGGGGGAGGGAAGGGAAGCTGGTTTGGGAAGGATACGGTTGGGAAGCGCCGGGGGTGGGCGCAGGGAATACGCCGGGTCGAGCCGGCAAAACTGGCTCCAAACCGTGCGGAGATTAGCAGGGCTAATTGCTCTAGATAATCTTTTAGTTTTCTTCTCTCCCTTCCTTGCATCTCCCCATCGGCGGAGCCGGTTCAAGCACCCAACACACCAGCAAACAGGCGGGTCCCGCTCACCGCCACCATGATCCCCTCGTCCATCGGACAACCGCCCGGCTCGGCTTTTCCTCTGCAAAATTCTCCCCAGTTCACGGGCTCAGTTTAAAATTCTCCAAGGTTTCTGCTATTCCCACGGCGAGGCCTATCAAACCCGGAGAGGTATATTTGCATTTTTCACGTTCCCTAGCTATAATAATCAGAAACCAAATCTTTGCACTCAGAAAAGATAGTGCGAGGGACGGAGAGGGCAATCCTGCAGGGACTGATTTGCTTTGAAGGGGAACCTTCTGATTTCCTCGGAGAGGGTGTTTTGTTGGTCTGGGCTGAGGTTTTTTGTTTTGGTGGTTTTTTTTGGGGGGTGTTTTCCTGTTTGTTTTTTTTTTTTGTTGTTGTTGTTTGGTTAGTTGGTTGGCTTGTTTTTTTTTTTCGGTTTTCAACGTGTATTTTACACGAACTCTTTGTGTTGTGTTTCGAGCTCCATCTCCGGGTGTTTTGGAGGCAGGCTGGGGAGATTCAGTCACAGAGGTATGTAAGGCAAAGAAAAACACCCTTTTGGCGGCCCGGGGAGGAGCATTTGATGCAGACCAAAGCTCAGGGCCAGAGATGTGCTCCCCCCGCTAAAATAAAAAGAAGTACAGCGAGAAGAGGAGGGTTTATTCTGGACCAGCCGCCCCAGGGCTTTAACACCCGGGGAAGGTGATCGCTTCCCGAAAAAACTGTTTTACCCGGACAGCCGGAGCCGCCAGTCCTCCTCTTCCGCCTTAAGGGGGAAGCTCCAGAAATAACTGCCCGTATCTCCTCCCCGGGTACCTGGTTTTCCCGGGGCTGTCTCCTGCTTGTCCCTGTCCTCAAAGCCCTCCCCCCCCCATTGCCCCGGGAACGGGAGGGCTGGCGCTTTCTTCAGTCTTCAAGAGGATTTATTTAATTTGCGGGGAGGAGGCAGACGATGGGGGAAGCCCCTGATGTGACAGGCACCCCGGAGGCTGCTCACAACTGCCCGCGAATAACGTGGAGGGAGTTTTTCAACCCGATCGGTATCTATCTTTCTTTTAAAAGGTGTTAAATGAACATTGAAAGCTTTGAAAGCTAATGTGGAAGACGGGGGCCTTGGGGAGGGTTCCCCCTCCTCTCTCTGCAGGGGATGCAGCGGGACGGACCCGCAGTGCTGCGGCCTGCAACAGACAAGGGGGGGATGTGTGTGTATAATTTTTTTTTTTTTTTACCCTACTTCCTTTCTCTTCCTTTCCCTAATCCTGAAAGGGAGCAGGCTGCGGCAGCCAGCACATCTGCTCCGCTCCCAGCCAGCAGCCTAGGCTTCTGCCCTGCTACCCACCCACCCCACCCCCCGGAGTGCAGATTTCCACGCGCGATCCGCAAGAAAGTGACAAAGGTTTAAGCAACTTGACTTACCTTAAGTGACAGCTCTCCAGATGGGACGATGCTCAAACGGGTGTAGGGCGTGTTGAGCTTTTTGGGGGGTTGGGGGAGGAAAAGGGGCTCTCTGCCCTCCTGTTTTCCTATTGTCCTTCCCCCCACCCAGCGTGTGTGGCCGTGGCATCCGCCAGAGCTGAGCATCAGGCTCCTGACGTCCAACTGCGACATTTCAGCACAGATTTGTATAACGCCCCCCACAAAAAAAAAACAAAAAAAGCCCACCCCAGCCTCATCCTAAGGCAGCCTAGAAGGAAGCGAGGGGCCCGAAGCCCGCTCCCATCCCCGGCCCGGCGGCAGAGGCAGAAAAGTGCATTTCGAGAGGCAGCAGGAGTTTTCGACTTTTTTTTTTTTTATTAAAACAATCCCGAGCCCCTGTTTACATTACGCAGTATAAACATCCTGCCCTGGCCCGCCGAGCTTAAAAGCGCACGAAGAGCGGGTTTCAAGTAGGTGAAGCTCCTCTCTGCGCGGAGTCTGCGGCCGGGCAGCGCCTCAACCGCCCTGCGCCGCCAGCGGATGTTTCGCGCTGCTCCCCGCTCTTACGTCTATCAAGGAGCGGCAAACGCCTCTAGAAGAGATAAAGTAAAAGGCAAGCGGCGGGACCGGGGGTAGCTTCAACAACCACCGCGATAGGAAGCAGCTCGCCACAGCAACGGCAGCGCCAGACAACCTAGAGCCGGGGCTGGGGGGGGAGACAGGGACGGCGGCCCCGGGCCCCCAGCCCGTCGAAGGGTAGGCGGAGACCGCCGGCTTCTCTTTCGCAGCAACTGAGCTCAGCTCGCTTCCACACGCCCCCCCCCCCTCCCCCGCCTTCTGCAGTCAGGTTCTGATTTAGGGATAAAGTGGGAGGAGGAGCGGGAGGTTGTCGCTTTCATTTGTTTATCCATGGAAGGGTGAAGTCGCCGGTGGAAAGAAACCCCGCCGGGGGGCCGGGAGGAAGCCGGAGGGGGGGGGGGAGTGGCAGCGAGCCCCCAGCAGAGTGGCCTTTTGGGGGGGCGCGAGGGGGGTGGAGGGTGGGTGTTGGCAGAGGAGGGCCGGAGCTGGCAGCGGCGGACCCGGCCGTAGATGACTGCAGAAGAGCAGCAGTCTCTGTCCTCTCAGCCCCCTCCTCCTCCGGTGCAGAGCAATTACAGACCCATGTCCTCCGTGCCCGAGAAACAGCCGCAGAGCTCGGCCATGGACACCTCTTCCGCGGCACCCGGAGGAGCGCCCGGCAGCGCCCCGGTCAGTGGCGGTCCCCAAGGGAAGAAGACCAACGCGGGGATCCGGCGGCCGGAGAAACCGCCTTACTCCTATATTGCTCTCATCGTCATGGCCATCCAGAGCTCACCCTCGAAACGCCTGACCCTCAGCGAGATCTACCAGTTCTTGCAGAGCCGCTTCCCTTTCTTCCGCGGCTCCTACCAGGGCTGGAAAAACTCAGTGCGCCACAACCTCTCGCTCAACGAGTGCTTCATCAAGTTGCCCAAGGGATTGGGACGCCCGGGCAAGGGCCATTACTGGACAATCGACCCGGACAGCGAGTTCATGTTCGAGGAGGGCTCGTTTCGTCGCCGACCCCGCGGGTTCAGGAGGAAATGCCAAGCACTGAAGCCCATGTACAACATGATGAACGGGCTCAGCTTCAACCACCTCCCCGAGAGCTATGGCTTCCAGGGCTCGGCCGGCAGGCTCTCCTGCCCCCCCAACAGCATCTCCCTCGAAGGGGGTTTGGGGATGATGAACGGACATTTACCCAGCAACGTGGAGGTGATGGGCTTCGCGGGACACTCTGTGCCCCATCTGCCTGCCAACGGTGGGCACTCCTACATGGGTGGCTGCACCGGCTCCTCGGCGGGGGACTACCCGCACAACGAGAGTTCTGTGCCCACCTCCCCGCTGCCTGCCAGCGGCAGCATGATGGAGCCTCACTCGGTTTATTCTAGATCGGCCTCGGCGGCCTTGAACACTGGCGCATCCTACATCAAGCAGCAGCCCCTCTCACCCTGCAACCACACGGCCAACACGCTCTCCTCCAGCCTTTCCACGCACTCCCTCGACCAGTCCTACCTGCACCAGAACAGCCACAACACCGCCGAGCTCCAAGGTAAGGCGCGGACACGCGTGGGACACACCCGACACCGCCGCCGCGGGGGTCAGCTGGGGGCTGCTGGCCACGCGTAGATCCACTTCTCGCCTCCCCTTCCGACCGGCACCAGGGCAGTCGTCCAGACTTCCCTCCGCTGTTGGGCTGGGAGCGGCCGGGCTGGGGCTCTGCTGCCCCGGGCGGCCGCTCTGCTGTTGGGGCCGCCAGGCTCAAGCAGGCGGGAAGCTGCGGGGATGGGCCCGAGGGGTCTTCACCTTCCATCGGGACCTAGGGAGCTCCGGAGGGAGAAAAAGGGGGGGCATTTCCCCACAGGGATGCCCGCCATCCACTCCTCTCGGGGCTGTTTCCCAGGCCTATTGCCTCTGTCCACCCTCTGTCCATGCAAAAATCGGGGGGCCCCCGTCCCCTGCAGCCCAGGTCTGGCATCACACCACCACCACCCCCCCCGGGATGGAGCTGCTGTGGGATGATTTGCCCTGGCTCTTGGAAAGGGGAAGATGGTCATTTGGCTGGGAGGAGGCCTCGGGAGGGACGACGCGCTTTGTTCTGCGTCCCAAATTCACCTCGGGGAGTAGAATCTCAAGGCAGAGGGAAGCCCTGAGAGCCGTGGCCGGATGAAGGGGCAGGGTTGGGGATCTCTGCACATCACCCCGGGCCTTTGTGGGAGAGGAAAGTGCTCGGCAGAAACGGGTGTGAAACGGAGCGTCAGCGGGGCAAAACCACGAAGTGAAACGGGGGAAAACATGCATCAGCCGGGCCGGATTGAGCGGCCAGGCCCGGATGCAGCCTCGGGCCGCTCCTCGGCAGTGAGCGCACCCGGATCTGCTGGAAAGCAGAGCAAAAATAAAGCTAGAGGAGCCTCCTGGCCTGCCCACGGCCTTAACTGAAATGCTCCGGTTTAACGCCCTGACTATGGGTGCCGGCACGGCGGGGAGTAGCCCCGGGCGGACGCTCCTCCCTGGAGCACCCCGAGTTTATGGGGCGTTTTTCTGTCCCGAAGTGTCAACAGAAAGGGCAGGAACAGCTCTGGTCCCCCTGGCTTTTCACCCTCGGTCTCTCCACCCGGTCCATACAGTCGGCCCCAGTGGATGGATGTGTACCTGGATCAGCAGGTGCATTCCCGGCATCCGGCCTATGACATATCTGCAGCATCCCACGGAGGCCATGGGAAAAGCAGCTGATACCTTCAAGGGCGTAAAATGGGGGGAAAATTCAACCCAACCCGGCCCAGACCCCTTCTACCCGAAGCATCCTTGGGCCAGGCAGGAGGTTTTCCCCATCGCACCTGTCCGCTCCCACAGAGCCCCAGGAGCGCCAGTGTATTTGTGTGAAAACTCAGAAATGCAGCAATTCCACTCTGGGACACAGGGGCTGCAGAGGGTTTGGGGGTTATTTTGGGGTTTTGATTTTTTGTTGTTTTTTTTTAACCCAGATGGCGGCTTTCTCCCCCCGTCCCCCCGTCCCTGCCTTCAACCTCCCCGGCAGATATAATTTTGATGGCTGACGATCTTTTCTTTCCATCCCGCAGGCATTCTGCAGTATCACTCCCAGTCTCCAAGCATGTGTGACAGAAAGGAATTAGTCTTCTCTTTCAACGCCATGGCCTCCTCTCCCATGCCTTCATCAGGCAGCGGCTCCTATTACCACCACCAAGTGACATACCAGGACATCAAGCCGTGCATTATGTGATACAGGGTGGATAAAACACCTCTTGGGAACAGCAAGGCCTGACTCGGGTCCCCTCTCCTGGACCCTCTCGATGGAAGTGGAGGGTCTCTGTGGACCGTCTGTGCTCAGGAGGGAGAGTCTGGCACCCCGGGAGTGGGTGGGGAACCGGGGCTGAGCCTGCCCCTCAGCTGAGCATCGGCTGGACCCTCCAACGAGGCTCCTCAGTCACAGAAGGTCTCTGCCTTCTGCTTCTTCGTTTGGGTCTGGGTTGAGAAGAAAGCAAAGAACCCTCCCCCCGAAACACCCCAACTGAGAGTTTGCGTTAAGGATTCGATAAATGAGGGTTTGATGGTTCTTTTTTTTTAAAAAAAAAAAAAAGGCAATTACTAATAATTACTAATTCAGTTTTGGCCTTGGCATTGAGCGGTGCCACCAGCACGGCTGGCAGGCGGATGGCCCCGACCCCAAAACCTGTGCATTCCACAGCCCCTCCGCTCTGCACCGAGGGAGGAGCAGCCGGGGTCCCCCCGCCCGACCCCCTCGATCCCGCTTCACTTCGAGCCCTTTCTTTGGAGAAACACACACCCATCCTTTTCTTTCTTTCTTTTTATTTTTTTCCTCAACAAACGTGCAGCTATTAATATTAGCTATTAATTTATTTTTTTTTTGCCTGCATAAAGACTGCAGGTTCAGACCCTATGCAGAGAGAAAAAGGCACTTTGAAAAGAGACAGCCATGCTCATTCTGTTATTTATTCTACATTTTTTGTTGTCGTTGCTAATAATCGAGACATGAGTAGTCTCAGTTGATCAGTATTAAATCGGTGAATCTCTGTTGGCAATATTTGCCATATAGATTTTTATATATATATATTTTTTAGTTAACCTTTGTAAATGTTAAGCCGATTGTGGTCTCTGTGTAAAGACAGTTCTCTGTATGTTTTCATAGAAATATATATAATGAAGGATTATTCCCTTCCCTCTCCTCTCTATATTTTGGGTTTTTTTCACCCCGACTTTGTACAGTTCGGTAACACTTATTTTAATTATTTTTGCACTGTATACATCTGTATGTGGGTTTTATTGGGGATTTTTTTTCACCCTGCCCTTTTGTGTGCATTTTGTCAAACCAAAATAAAACATGTATGTTATTTTTACATGGGCTCCACGATTGTATGAGCAGCAAATAAACGAGCATGCAGCATAACATACGTAATTATATCTGAGGTATCTGTGGGCTCTGCAGGCCGCGGAGTGGCTGCCACAAACCTTCCTGCGATAATTCCCCATCTCAATGCAGACTCGAAAGAGATTTTTTGGGGTTTGGCAGCGGCTTGCAAGGGGTCCGGTGCCCTGGGCAGGCTGCGCTGAGATATTTAAAATTATGATAGTGAAAGGAGGAGAGATGAAAACCGGAGGCGATTTAATTTTTTCTCTTTTTGTTATTATTTATTTAATATTGTTTAATATCCCCCCCCCCTCGCCCCCAAGAAGAAAGCAAAAGCAGGATTTTACTCTTATTCTTTGCTTCTTACTCAGGGACAAGGCGCGATGCTGTGGGGATGGAGCCTGCGGCTCCTTTTCTCTCCTCCACCCCGGGAGGGACATGGTCATTTTTCGGGTAGCCCGAGCCCCACATCCCCGCGGAACCTCTGCTCCTAGCGGCCGCAAGAGAGCAACAATAATAATAATTAAAAAAAAAAACAAAAAACCCTCGAGCCAATTAAGTTCTCCGCCATCACGGTCCTGTGTTGGGCAGAAATAAATGTACAGCTAGAGGAGGGAGAGCAGGCAGTTGGGACACACGCCTGGTTCATCAAAAAAATAAGTCACTTTCTGCAAAGCTTAGATTTATTTGGTCTAATTAAGTAGTCTCCTATGCCTAGGAAATTTTGCTTTAATCTGTGGGCTGATATGCCTATCTCAGCATTCTCACTATGAACATTATACATGCATATTAAAAAAAAAAAATAAAAAGATGCATACAAATTAATCTGATTAACTACCTGCCTATTTCTGCCTTTATATAAGGAAATCAGGTTAGTGCACAGTAATTAGTCCAGCTGTATGTAATCAGCTTAATTAAAAGCAAAGTTAGCTGGTAACAACATCAAGTCTATCCATTCTTTTAATTAAGGCAGGTGGGAAAGGGTTTATCAGAGCTGATGGAGGCTCTTCATAGTGAGTGGGGATTTTGTTGTTTGGTTGTTTTTTTTTTGAGGGGGTGTTGTTGGGGTTGTTTGGTTGTTTTTTTATTTATAGATTAGATCTGTTTAAGCTAGCAGCAATCAGCCTGCAGTATTTAGTGGGGGCTTTTGGGTTTTGTCTTTATGGGTTGATTCTTCCATCATTTGCACTGCTGCCCGTCCCTGTTGAAAGTAAGCTGTGTCATTCCCATTCTTTTTATACCGAAGCTAAAAACTGAGGTTTTTTTTTTTTCTCCTGAAGCATGTATACAACAATGATAAGAGAAAATAACAAGGGAAGAGAATATGATACCACCGGAAGCCCGTGTCCTTCTGGGTAACTCCCAGTCACCCCCCAACCCGGGCATGACGTGCTGTGGTATGGAATACCTCCCTGGCTAGCCCGGGTCAGGCGCCTCATCTCTGCTTCCTCACAGCTTCTCCTCCTCCCTGGCAGAGCATGAGCCTCACAGAGTCCTTGGTCAGGGTAAACATCACTTAGCAACAACCGACAACATCGGCTTCACCAACACTGTTCCCAGGCTGGAAGTCAAAACACGGCACTGCACCAGCTACCACAAAGGAAAAACATGACTGCTACTGCTGAACCCAGGACACTCTGCTAGGTGTGGCTGAGGTAAAGGTCCAGGCTTAGGAGTTCAGTCTCTGTCAAGTGGTTCTTCTTCCCTTGAAACCTCAGTGTTGCTCCTAAAGTTCATTTTAATTCTTCAAAATTAAGTTTTGTACTCATTTGTGTGTGGTGCCGCTGCTGAGCTGGAAAGGGCAGGCAGGCACCTTGCAAGCCTCAGGCCCTACTTGAAGGGGTTTGATAGCTGGTCTTCAGCAAAGGTTTATATGATTCATTTTTTCTTTTCTGTCGTTTTCCAAGCCTGGAAAATCAGAGCCACTACCACATACTGTGGATACCACATATTCCTCAAGCCAGTGAGCACAGTCTAAACAGACAGCTGTCCATCTCAGACACCTACGGCAGTGAGGAGAGGATGAAACCTCACTGGCTTCTGCCCCTAGCCCTTCTTATACACAAGACAAATTTAAGTTTTTCCCTGTGTGTATTGTCCCAGGGGATGGCATAAACCTCTAGTTGCTATTACAAGCGGTCCCTTTGTAAATGCTCTGCTCATATCTTGTGGGGTTGTTTGGGCTCTGGTAGGAAGCAAGAAGTCAGCTCACTCAGAAATGCTGTTGGAGCCCTGTGCGAGGAGATGAGACATAGGCTTGCTCAGAAACATTGTATTTTCTTGTGTAATGGCCCAGATCTGACCATGGTCAGCTGCTGTGGCTCAGTTTGGTGTCAGCAATCCCTTCACCCACTTCCCAATCCATAGGTGATACAACACGATTTTCTGTGGGGTTTCGGCATTTCTATGATAGGAAAGAGTTTCTAGTTGCAGATGCCCATGAAATTGGGCTGAAATTTTGGAGCGTGATGAGAAACAGGGCCTGGTGTCTCCAGTGGGATTTGATGCAGGATGTACCCCCGGCTGGGGGTCCCAGGGGTGCTGGACCAGGGCCATGGCCTGCCGTTGCAGGGGTGCAGCTGTCTAGGTGTATTGATTGACAGCATCAACGCTTCCCCCTTCTCCTTACCGGGGGCTTCTCACACCCCTGCAGGGTCACCCAGAGCTGGATCCCGCGTTGGCTGCTGCCACTCACCTGTGGGTTTATGAGGGGCACGGCTTAGGGGTGATGGGGGGATCTCAAAGCGGAGATGTGCACTGCAGAGTCCATGCAAAAGGCGATACGGGGCTGGGTCGGTCTCCCGCAGGGTGGGAACACATTTAGGGGTGTAACTGCGGTCCTTTTTTGGGGGGCAGGGCTGCCGTCGAAGGGCCTCTCGGGAATTTGGGGGGGATTTGGGGGAATCCCGGGGGGGGGGAGGGTCTGGCGGCGCCGTTCCCTTCACAGCAGCGCCACCTGCTGTCGGCAAGCAGTACACCCGGCACGGCTCCCCCCAGCCGCGCTTTTGCCAAAATTGAGATTCAAACACGGCTGGGTCTCGTGGTTTCTGATCTCTGAGCAACCCGTGCCAGTGCCTCACCACCCTCGCAGGGAAGAACATCTTCTTAAAATCTAATCTAAATCTTTCCTCTTTAAACAGAAAGCCATTCCCCGTTGTCCTATCACTACATGCCCTTGTAAAACTCCTTCAGAAAATTTCACTGAAGTGAATCACTGTTGTAAACATGAATTTCTTCTTCTTGGACACTTCCCACAGGTCCTCTGAGAGATCCTAGGAAGCCTGCAGGCCGCTGGGATAAGCATCAGAGAGCAAGTGACAATTCTAGAGGTCAAACCATCTCTGCTTAATTATGGAAAGAGATGTGGGGACACTGGCAGTGCCACTTCAGTAGTTCTTACCTTTGTGTACATATATGATCCTGAACATAGGCATTTCTTAATTTAAAACAGCAGGAGGTGGAAAAATCCAGGCTGGTATAGAAAGTGCAGTTCTGCGGCTCAGCTTCAGGCTAATTACTGAAAAAAATAAGCAAACACACCTGGAAAAGCAAGATGACATGGCCTGGAAAATGTTGCAAGGACTTACAGTTCCAAGAGTTCACTTGGAGCAAAACTTGCTATAGCACTTGTGTTCCTCTGTGGTGGTAAAGAAGGGCTGCTGCAGAGCAGTTAGCTGAATAATCACCTCCTTCAGTGAGATGGAAATGCCATGCTTCGGAGTCTGAGCAGTGGAGGTGCCTGGAAACACTCTGGAAAACATGGTATCCCCCTGGAAAAATGGAAGTATTACTCTTGTCTGAACAAGTAGTCACTCAAAAATACTGAGGAGAGGCAGCAATGGATGCACTAATGC